ATGTTTACCACTTATTCATTATTTTCAATTTTCAAATTCAGATATTATGTATAAAATTAAACCTATAAAAAAATTTGACAAACAGCTATGGAATGATTTAAAACAGCACCTTATATTACCAGATCAGCTGGTTGAATCTATTATCCTTCCATCAAGATTCATTTTAAAACAAGATTATCAACAAGAGTATTCAAATTATTTTCAACTATAGTCAATGAAAAACACGCTTCAATTATTTTATGGATTGATAATTGATCAACAAGTTATTTCTCAAGAAATAATCTTTATTAATTTCAATTAATTCTTCAAGGAATTAAATATGGATTTGCTTCAAGAACTTTTTGAGATATTTTCTATGGACATGCTAATACAATTATGGTTACTAAAGTTAAATGAACAAACAAAATTATTGGTGGATTTAATCTCTGGCTTAAAATAAGACAAAAGAGGTGATGAGTACAAATAAGAGTTTTATATTTTCATTTGAAGGTAATAATATCCAAAATTCAATTCTTAGTAGAGTTAAAAAAGTAAAAAGGACTTCATGTTCCTCTAATAACAAAAATATTTATTATTATCATCCAATATTTGAAAACTATGAATTCATGCTGAGATCAGATATATCCAATTTTATATGAGATAAATTATGTTATGGTTCTAAATCTTTTGAAAAACCTATTAGAACAACTATTCAAGAATTTTTTATTATAGATTATGAAGTATTTAAAATAATTAAAAAATAAAGATAAAAAAATTTTTTTTATATGTTTTATAATTTGAAATATATGAATCATTACTTTTGTTTTGCAAATTATTTGTTTATAATGAATTATTATACTATAACTTATAAATAAATTAAATTTATTTAAATTATTTATTTTGATATAAAATGCAATCAAAATTTATCAATTTATATAACTGAAATATTAATTGTAAATTAATTAAATTAAAATCAATGTATGAAAGTAAAATAGTATAAGACTTTGAAAATAATTTTTTGAAGATATTTATTTAATTATAAGTATATGCTGCTGAGCAACTTTAGTAGCTATTTAGAATATGAGAGATAGAAAATCTGTCTAATTCCATTAGAAATACAATTAAAAATTATTATTAAAATTTTTGTGTTAATTATAAAAATATTAATGAAATCAACTACTCTACTCCACTTTAATTACATTCAGAAATAATTTATACTAGTAGATTTTTCAATTATCTAAAACCTATAAATTTTGAAATTTTTGACAAAGAACTTGAAGAATTAACAATAATTTTATTCAAGTAAATACAGTGGTGATCAAAAGTATTGCATTGCCTAAATAAAAATTTTAAAGTTTTTATATCTTGTGATACATGATATACAACATAACATAAAAATTTTATTAGACTCCGAAAATGATTAAATTCAATAAAATAAAATTTATTGCTTATTAATAAGACCAAAATTTTTAAAAATTTATTTTTTATGATTTATGTGATGCATTTATTGATCGTTAGTTATTTTTTTTAATTTATGTAAAAAATACAACAAAAAACAATTCAATGATATTAAAAATTTTAAAAACTATTTTTTGCTATCTGGTATAACCACCTTTTGCTTTAATTATATCATTTATACAAGTTGACATAGTGTTATCTTCTTACAAACATCTACTTCCAATTCCATCCAAATTTTTTGGATTGCGTCTCACAACTAATCCTGAATTTTAACAGGGGTCTCAAGTTGCCTTAATCATCAATCAATTTCATTCCACAGATGCTCAATAGGATTTAAATTTAGAGATTGGGCTGGCCAATCTAATACTCTAATGTCATTGTTCTCGAACCACTGTTTTGTGAAATGAGCAGTGTGTTTGGGGTCATTATCCTGCTAAAAAGTGATATTATCTTTATCCAACCCATGCCACTGGATGGTTCCTAATAGGTCTTCCTCCAAAATTTGTTGATATAAACTCCCATCCATGTGTCCATAAATTCTGACAACGATACCAACACCATCAGATGTGAAGTATCCCCATACCATGATATTGCCCCATCCAAATTTGACTGTGGGTTTAATATGATAATTATATAATGGTTCTTTGGGTCATTTCCAACAGTATTCCCTTCAATCTGATCCATAAATCATAAATTTTGATTTTATCAGACCAGATTACTTTTCTCCGGTCTTCTATAGTCCATTTTTGATATTTTCTTGCAAACCTCATACAAGCAATTCTATGTGTTTTTTTTAAGATATGGTTTTTTGAACTTCACTTGTGCACCCAAACCATTTTGGTGTAATGTCCTCTTTATTGTGCACTCGCTAACATCAATTTGATCATCAGTTCTTAATTTTTTTTGAATTGCAACTAAAATTACACATAATAAATTTAACTGATTACGTTTTACTTTGCACAACTTGGAATTCTTCCGAAATTTTTTTTAAAAAAAAATTATTTTAGAAAAAATGAAATCCAAATTTTCAGAAGTCTATCAAGAAAAATAAAAAAAATTCACTGGCTATCTTATGTATCGCCGTACTACTTTAATAAGGAATGAAAAAAAAAACTATCCAAAACATAAGCCTTTTGATAATTTTCAATAAATAAAATTTTGTAATCGTTTTAGAATATTTAAAGCTTATTTTTGATCAACTCCATTCAATTCCTTGAACGAACAAGAAATTTGGGATTAGAAGTCATACTTAACCCGAAAAATTAAAAGAATTACCTAAAGAAAATTTTTATAACTTTAAAGGGAACACTGTAAGCTTACCATATTCGTTTTTTTTTTTCACCGGAAGTTATGGATAAAATTATGCCATATAAGAAAATTCTTGATAAAAAAAAATGTGAAAGAGCCACTTATCTTCCAATATCGACCTATAAACCTATTCAAGAAAGTATTTTTAACTCAAGGACCAAAATAAATAACCAAGAGCTACCAAGAGCAAATAAAATATTCATTTTCAACGTCGAACATGCAGTAATAATTTGGTTATAAAACGACAAGTTATTCTTTAACAAATAATCTATATTTAAGTTGAATTGATTTTTCGAGGAAGTGAAGATGGATTTGCACCGAGAACTTTTTGGAATGTTTGTAATAAGCATGACAATACAATTCGGTTGAAAGTTGAAGGAACAAATGAAATTATCAGTGGATTTACTTTAGATTGAGATTGGAATAAAACAAAAGATAAAAATTTTTATTTTTATTTTTCGTTTAAAAGCGACAGTTTCCGAATTTTAATTCTTAGTATAAAAAAAAAATCACGCTTAATATAGGCAAAGATATAATGGGCCCAAGATCTAGAAAAGCAGAATTCATGTTCAAATCAAGTGGATTTGATTTTAATAAAGAATTGCAGAGAGAGAAAAAACAAGGCATTTTCTATTATTAATTATGAAGTTTTAAAAATCTAGTTTATAAAACTTTTTTTTATTATTTATTTTATCGATTTATTAATTACATTAAATTTAGAAATTACTGATGAAAATTCAAGTAATTTAAACTTGCGTTAGCTAATGGTTATGAAGTTTCTAAAAGACGAATTTTATAAGTGATGCAATGTGACGCTTTTATTTTTTATCATCATTAAAATTTTGTAAACTGCTTTAAAATTGCGATATTTATACTCGTTAAGAATATCTCTAAATTAAAGATATTTTTTTATTTGTTCATTTATTTTATTTGTACCATATCATAAAATTTAACATCAGGTGGGGTTAGTCTAAACGTGTACACTATATCAACGAGCATAATCTACGTTTTAAATTTCAAACCCAAATTTTTATCCATGTATCAAAAATTGAGCAAAAATGGTTTTTATACTTCAAGAAAAATTTTGGTGCAAACCATGCGAGTCAAAAAATTTCCCAAAATGATTAATGAGCAAGTAGAAACGAAACAATAAATATGATTTCGTGATAAAAATTTTGCAAGTTTAGATGAAGATTTCTTATCGAGATGAAGTATTTTTTTTTTTTGAATAAAATATAAAATATATTAATTATAATTTTAAAAATACATTTTATAAATGACAATACTATGGAAACAAATGAACCCGATTTTGTGGAATAACAAACGTTCAAATATGATTATTTTACAATATTATTCTGGTGGAAATTTTAAAGAGCATTTAGGCCATAATATTAATTGGGAACAAAATTAAAAATATTAAGAAAATGATTAATTTGATAATTTATCATTTCTGGTAAAATTATTGATGTTTATTATCGCTTATATTATATCACATCATATTATATCACATTATCAAATGACAAAATTCAATTTTCAGCTCGCAGACCTACTTTAAAGAATTGTATCACAGTTAAATAAAAGTCACTGGATTATAGGTAAAATGATTTTAAAAATAACAAAAGGTTAAAGAAATTTTAGGAAGTGAAACAACAACAATAACTCTCAAACACATTCAGAAACAATTTTTCTCGGTAACCTTCTTACTTATTCGAGGCTTCAAACCCCTAAAAAATGATAAAAATATTATTTTTTTTATTTATTTTTATAATTATTTGAAACACAGAATATGCTCAAACACTAATTGGTTAAACGAAAAAAGATTAACTTCACCTAAACCTAAATGTAAATCCTTCAACAACGGGTTGGGTCAATGTTTGTGTGTCACAGAACGGAATTCTCATTTTGTTTTCTCCATTCGGAAAGATTAGCAGCCATTTTTATATTAAGAATTTTTAAAAAAAAATTGTTCTTGATTACATAATGACTTTACATTCGTTTTATATCGAACTCAGCCATCTCATATTTTTGGATATTTTTTTAACCTTGTTTATTTCTGAAAGTCAAAAAAAATGAAGGCTATATTAAAAAAATTCATTCAAATTAAAACTATATTTCTCATTATGTCATTATCAACTATATTATGTATACTGTTTTATAATAGTAACGATAGCCTCAAAAAAAATCGACCAAGAACTTTATTCTTTGATAAAATCTATGTATTAAACCTTGAACGACGTCCTGACCGAAGGGAAAAAATGTCCTTATTATTAGAATATTTTAACTTGGATTATGAATTTTTTCCTGCAACCGATGTTAATTCTCCTGAAGTGGAAGAAGAATATCAATCAGTTATTGCTCAAAGTGAAGATTTAAAAAAAACAGAAGTTGCTTGCACGTTAAGCCATTTAAGAATATATCAATCAATTATTGATAATAATTTAAAGAGCGCGTTAATATTCGAAGATGATATAGATATAGAGATGGATATTAAACATCAAATTAGTAAAATTTTACCATATCTTCCAGAAGATTGGGAAATGTTTTATATCGGTCATTGTTGTGTAGAAAATTTAAGAGAACCTTTTAATTATCCAACCTTATATATTTCAACTAGACCTTCTTGTACACACGCTTATGCGGTTTCTAATATTGGAGCTCGAAAACTTCTATCGATATTAGTCAAGCTTAAGATGCCTCTAGATTGTGTTTTAGTTAATTTAATAGAAGCTGGTAAAATAAAATCTTTTAGCGTTGAACCACCTTTAGTTATTCAATGGAGATTAGGGATGGGATCTGATATTCATGCTACCGATCCTTCATGGGTTGATCAAACGTTAAAAAATTCAACATTAAAGCATTTAAAAATTAAAGATTAATAGGATTTATTGTATATGATTTTTGTATTTTTTTTAGAATTTTTTTTAATAAACATATATTGGTTTTTTCTTTTATACTCTCGTCTAAAAAAAAAAAAAATTATTTAAATGATTTTCGAATTTTAAAATTTCGATTTCGATAATATCATATCGCCAAAAAGATTTCAAACAGCTGAAGTCTTGGCATTTACATATCAAAATAAATCATGCGGATCCTCGAAAATAAAAATAAATCAATCAATTAAAAATATACTGTAAATTAGGCTAGTAAAAAAAAATTCCTAATTAATTATTAGAATTTATTATTATACATATTAAGATAAGATCGACTTATTAAAAAAGAATATTAATTTTTTCATTTTACGACAGAAACGTTTAGCACGATTAGAAATATTATATTGCGTTGACTCATTTGTTGGCTGTCATTATTGGATGACCCAAAACTATGATGTGGCGTAATTGCGCGTTGCGCATCTCATACATTGAATTTGGCGCAATTTTTATTATTGTGGCTTATCGAAAATGCTATAATTTCAATGCTAATCTTGATAAGAATATATCACAAATATGTTGGTTATTATTCTAATATATCATTTCGAAAATAAATCTCAAGAAATTAACTTGAAATTTACTTTTTAGAACACACAGAAAAAAAAAAATACAGCCTTTCAATCAAGGATCAATTTGTGGCTTTGATTAATAACGATGAAAAAATTTTACCATGTTACCATTAATGCAGATCATGTTTATTAATTAATTAACAAGGATTCAGGGTTAGGGGAAATTTACCATTGTATAAAAAAAACAAATATGCATTTAATAATTATGAAATTAAAATATGCATACACGAAAGGTATTAAGCTTTGTCAAACAATTCTTGCATGGTTTTTTTTAAAAAAAATGAGTGTAACGTGGAACCTTGTACTTCTATATACAATAGTGTAGTGAAGTGATATTGAGGCGGCACGAAAATAGCCGGAGTCACGGGGGTGATGGAAGATGATGTGTGTCACTATTTGGATGATTTGTGCATCATACTTCATCCAAGATGAAAGGTAATATCCTCGTGTTTATGGATGATGGTGGATGAAAGTAAACAAAGGGTAAGATATAAAATAGCTGCGGAAAAAAAGGAAGAAAAAAAAAAGAAAAAGAGATTCCTTTTCGCCAAAAAGAACAAGAACCAAAATAAATATATTTTACTTGATATTTTGAACAATTTTAATTTTAGTTTTATTTTTACTTAATGTTAAATATTTTGAACATTTTAATTTAGTTTTATTTTTTACTTTTCATTCATAATACTTAATAATAATAAAATAATTTCGTATAGCAATAGGGATAAGATACGCCAACGCA